TATTAGAGAGTTTCTAAAAACATTACTCTTGAATAAGGAAGATAGCTAAAAAGAGTATCATCAATGAGGTGTTTTAGTTTGCAGCTTCTTCGAGTTTCTTCCATGTTAATTCTCTTTGTTCCAACAACTCGTATGCCTTTGCTTCGTTCTCCGGATGTTGTTTCTCGCATTCTTCAAAGAGCTCGGTGTCCATCTCCATAAACATTCTTCTAACGTTCTCAGAGAGACCGTGCACCGCTTGGTTCCAATGTCCTTTCATGTTCCTCTCCAATGCTTCAAAGATTATCGGGAAGATCACGTCTTTATTCTGAGCAATCAGGCCTACGATATGTTCATTGTTCCACAAGAAAAGAGCTCTCTCTGCCACCTGCACTCTTCACATCTCTCTATCAACAATTACACTCCATAACTCAAAATTCATCACTTTCTAAGACTTTTTGCATCATAGTCAATTTCGTGGCAATCGAATCTTAAGTAGACAACTCAGAAAGAAAACATACGAAGTTGAGAAATGGACCTGGAAGTGTGCGCTATTAAGACATTTCCCAATCTGTGTAAACAGAGGAACAACACAATGCTGAAACTCTGAGGACTCTGTAGCATCCAAGACCTCTTCCAACTCTCCCAAGAACAGAACCTCCTTCTGACAATTCGTAAGCGGCCAATACTTCAACAACCCGCGGATCACGGTATCAGCCAATTTGTAATCTTTCTCCACAAACTGTGTCACGCAATACGACAACTGCTGGTGATAAATCGAGATACCCTTAGACTTGTGTAGTGGCAAAATGGCTTTCACAAGATACAACCTATGTTCCTCTCTCATTGGTACTGTAAATCCATTGATCACACTTCCAAGAATCTCCAACAACTCTCCAATTCCAATGCACCTCTCAGTCTCATACAAGAACTTGTAGAAAATGTTATAAATCGAGCACCTGATAAACGGGCGGTGAAATATAAACTTCCCATAGATCCTATGAAGAACAGTTTTCAAATACTCCCTCTCCCTAGGATCCTCAGAGTCAAACAAATCGAGTAATCTAGCAACAAAGGTGTGATTGATGAATATTTTCGCGGTTTTAGGCTCTATTTCGGAAGACACTACATACCGCACAAGAAGCTCGTAAACGAGCTGCAAATGAGGCCACCATGGTTCAAGATAAGGCTCTTCCTCTTCAGGATNATTCCCTTCAGGAGGAGCTCCTGTGTTCTCATGGTGTGCAGGTGGTAAACACCGGAAAATGTTAGCGGAAACCATTCGTATAAGCTCGCTCTGCATCGTCTCATTGACTTTACCTGAAGAAGAGTGAAGGAAATCAACCAATTCAAGAAGCGTTTGCCTCTTGATCTCTTTCTCTCTTGGCATTATCAATGTATCAGAGAAATCGCAATGGCAAGAACACATGTGAGCTTTCTTCATGAATAGGAGAGGCCGATCTGAGGAAGATACGTCTTTTAACAATGGAAGTACTTCGAGGGTCGGTGTGGATGAGAACATTGGGTGATTCGGAGTCTGAGAAGGCGACGGAGCCGCCGTCTGAGATTCACCGTTCGTTGCGGAAGAAACAGAGGCGGTGGTTGTGCGGCTACCGCGAACGACGGTGTTACCGGAGTTGTTGTTGTCTTGGTGATGTTGATCAGATTTGTTGAATTTCTTCTGACCAAGCTTCATGATTTTGTTGAACATCTTGGAAAAATCCAATCTTTGTGTGTTGTTCAGATGGATTGATCAAAACCCTGAAAAGATTCGGAAAATGAGATTGGTTTTTGTTTGTTTTCGCCATGGAATTCGAATTTACAAAGAGGGAGAAGAAAGTTGTTACCTTTGAAGCGATGAGTGGAGGAGAAATCTGAGATCGGAGAAGGAGAAGCATTAGAGCAACATTAGGATTGTGGAAGACTGTAGAGGGCAAAAAAAACCAGAAAACCGAGAGAAAATAATGTCGAGGATGAAGGAGAAGATCAAATTTTTGGGGAAGAAGAAGAAGAAGTATTTTTAACCATTTTTTTTAAAAAAGGATAATTTGTTTTAGCTTTGGTAAATCATTTTTTTTTTAATCTGAGTTTATTAAAAAAATAAAAATTATTTTGAATTTCTTGTATTGTATAATTGTTTGATGTTGAAAAAACAAACAAAAAAATACTAAACAGAATCAAAGAATAATTTGTATTTCTATAAAATAAAACAGAAAAACAATTTGAACTTATTTTTTTGTTTGGCAGCAAAAGTCTTTTAACTTTGTTTGAACATTAAAATTGCATAATTACATTATATAGTTAAAAAAATGACTTCAATGATTGTCAAAACTTTGAGAAATTTGAAACAATTTCTCTTCCATAATTTTTTATAGATCTACAAGTTTAACATCTTAATTAAAAATTTGCAAGATTCCATGCAGAAATCCACGTTTTTTCATTGAATCGATTCCATAAGTCAACAAAATTAATGGAAAAAACACATCTATATATAGAAAGAGACATCATCATTAACTAATTCAATTTACTATATTAGTTCATAATAATTTTATGAAGATTTAGCAAAAACAAATTTTTATGAAGATTTGTTTGTTTATTATGTAAAGACTACGTACGTACGGGCTGTAACCTTAATCTCTATAGAGTTTATTAGCTTCGAGCCACAACGCGTAACTAACATACGCCCCTCTCCTCAAATCTAAACCGGATAATCTTTGTCTTTCTCACACATTTACCATTAATTAAAGCAACGCCGGTACAAAGGTGATCAAGAGAGACAGATACGTGTCATGCACTTTCATTGTGTAACTCTACATGCAAACATCCCACGTGTCTTACATCTGCATGCAACTCAAACACTTTCGTTCCCTGTCCTTATAACACAGACACAAAGCCATCGACTTTCTCTGATTAAGGCCGCCTCAGAAGTCAGAACAAGACCCATCGATACAGACTGATGATCATGGTGGCTAAAACCCTAGCACTGTTCATAACATGCACCTTATTCTTCTGCCATGTGGTAGTTTCCTTAGAGGACCTCACCATACGCCAAGTCACAGAGGACCGAAGAGTACTTCCCAATCTCCTTGGAACCCACACAGAGACCAAATTCCGGGTTTTCATGTCGGAACACGGCAAGAGCTACGCCACGAGGGATGAGTACGTCCACCGCCTCGGAATATTCTCTAGAAACGTCCTCAAGGCGGCGGAGCACCAGATGATGGACCCCACCGCGGTCCACGGAGTCACGCGGTTCTCTGATCTCACGGAAGATGAGTTTAAGAAGATGTACACCGGAGTCGCGGAGGTTGGCGGCCGCCGTGGCGGTGCGGTTGGAGCGGTGAGGACGGAGGCGGCCCTGTTGGAGGTTGAGGGATTGCCAGAAGATTTTGATTGGAGGGAGAAAGGTGCAGTTACTGAGGTCAAGGATCAAGTATGTTTCCTCTATCTAGCTATAAAGATAGATACATAAATAATTGTTCTAAAGGCTTAGGATTACACCTTTGACTTTGACTGCAACGGAGAAGGAATATGATTTATTGATTTGTTTAAGTAAAAAAAACATAAGCAAAGGGATTATATTTGTTTTATTTCGTAATGAACTACTAGGTAATTGGTAATTAGCTTAGAATATTCTTCTAGTAATTGATTTTAGTTGGATAAATAGTACACTTATTAGTAAGTTAATAATAGAATAGTATATGTCATATTTAAAAAAAAAGAAATATAGTGTATGTCATATTAACTTTTGGGGTCTAATTGTTCTGGAAGTGGGTAGATTAGGTTGTAATTTATCCATTTTGATCATATATATCTTACATTT